TGGTACTACACAAACTAAGTGTGTAGCACGATCAGTCGGTATGATTTTTGACGATAACTCTTATTTTCTTAAGTTCTTTGTAAAATTGATTGAATATATAAATTCATCGTTTCTAATCTTTTAATGTTTGAATTCTAAAAGACAAAAATCTCTATCTGTTTAATTACTTCGTCATTCATGCGTCGTCTTCCTCGAATAGTATGTTTTTCTTTTGTAGTATAATAAGATATTATTTTTCATGAACAGTCGTTGTTCTATTGATGAATCATATTGAATCTTTTTGATGTTTTGTTTTTTTTTCATTATGCAAAATTAATTTTAGAAAACCTATGATTTTGATTCCATGCCTATTTATACGATAAAGTTCAATACGAAGTTCATTACTTAAACATTGAATTTTATCATAAAGGTGTTGCTCACATTCTTACTATTCATATTTCTCTTAATCAATTTGTTCAATAGTTTTTTCGAATGTTCATTAGTTAAATATTTAACTTATATTTCAAGACTTTTCAATTGTTTTCTTCATGAATCCATTTTTTCTGAGAGTGTAGATTTTGTTCTCAACATTATTTTTCTAATTTAAGTTATCTTTAACGCTATATTTTTGTCATTGATACGTGTTCTATTTTGTTGACTTCAATGAACTACAATCATTTGACATGAAACTTTTATGAATGATAGAATCAACTTTGTGCTCTCTAATAAGGTATCGTACATTGTGAGATTTCTTGCTAATTCTGAAATATCCTCGTTTGAATAAAAAAAACCTATGTTGGTCTTCTAACTTCTTCACATGAAGATCAAGCAACTTCTGATAGCTGCTTGTGATCAGGATTCAGTGCACTCTATTTGTCACCAAAACATAAGACCAGATTATTCACTTTTAGATAATTTTTACCTAATACCAGAACTTTTGACAAGTACTGTAATTATTTAGCTTCGTGGAATCGAAAAACCTATATTATGTGTGTGCTCAACGTTTTCGTTATGAGAGAATAAAAACATGGATGATTCAAAAGTATCAAAAAATAATTTTGTAACACAATCTACACCGTAAATAATGAAGTTTTTTACCGACTAAACTCTAATGTCTTGGAGATGAGTAAATAATAATAATAATATATGTTAGATATCAAATGCATATGAGAGAATATTTACAATACTTATTTTGTTTTACTTGTTTGCAATTGTCAGAGAATATACATCATTCATTACCGTATCAATAGGTTTTTCGATTCTGAACAAAATCAAATGACAGCTATGGTTGCTGTTAAGCAATTCGACTTTTTTCTATGTTTTGAATTTTAATTAGATTCAATGGCAACCAAATCAAGATTATTAAATTTAATAAAAAAATCTACTTTACGTAAATATCTTTCATTGTTCATGAACATATTTAAATCGAAACCATTGAGTCAAGAGCAGATTTAATGTAAATATTTTTAAGATCAAAACAGATCAAACTTTCATAAATCTGACAAGTTCATGACAGACAATGGACTCTTCATACTTACTTGTACCTACTATGTGTTTTCTATTTTAACCGGATCTCGGAGATGTCCATCGCGATTGAAAATCTATCACTGTCGCGCCACAATGGTATGCAAAAACTGTTCCGAATTTCAATTCTGTGACTGCACTGAACACTAAAATTGTTGTTAATAATTCATGAGATTCATCGAGTCTTAGTGTTACATTTGTAGACACTGAAATTCAGTACAGATTCATTTAATTTTGCTGTATGCTTAAAAAAAAAAAGCTACCACTCTCGTAGCACGGTGATTGTTTAGAAAACCTGCCGCAGTCGCGATGAAGATCTCTGTCAGATCTGTCTATCGTTCTTTTTATACGCTTATATTATGATGATATTTGAATAGAAATACAAAAATAAGTAAATCATACAAATGATTTACTTAAACGAAACATTTATTAATTTGATACACTATAAGTTTTACTAGCCAATCGGCAAACACAACATATTCATATTCAGAAAAGACAAATCTATTTTATATTAAAAACATTTTGAATGGATTTGATAAACTAATTGAAGAGAACATTTCAACATCAAATATTTCACAATAATATTAATATAAATCAGAGTACCAAAAGATGAAAGGAATAAATACATAAATAATAAAAAAATATAATCACAATAAATGATTAGTCATGCTTTTATACAGTCAAAATTACAATAACAACAAAGATGCTCCATCATATCTTTTGATTCCTATATTTTCTGCTAAAAGAACGAAACTTTTATTGGAGACTTTAAAAAATGATATTATAAAAACATCGCCTGTGACAAACGTGAAAATTACAGACTATGTCTGTCTCTGTTAGACAGACTCGGTAGTAAAATAGAGATTCTGGAAACTCGACATGATTATATTATAGTTAAAAAAAGATAAACTTTTTTTCTTATAAAGATATAGAATGTCCTTCGAAAAGGATATCCAGTCTTAGCAGCATGAATGTATTGCTTTTCTTAATTTATGTCAGACAATTTTTTCTCATAAATAATTCTATTCATTTATTTTATATAGCACTAAGAATCAATTCGATAAAATTTTTGCAATTTTTAACACACTACTCTATGAGTTCAATCAAGTGTCGTGAAATTAATCTTATGGAGGACAAAAGGATCATCTCATAATTTTGCTAATGTTCTCAGCTTACTGGCACGATGGCTACTCATATAATACTTCAAGTAATTCTTTCATTCATTCTTGGATTGATAAAATATTTCATGTCGTTATGACGGAATATCCTTTTCAAAGGATATTTTCTTAAGGTCGTTTAAAAATTTGCCCAACGGTTTAATCAGATAGCTAGACATTGTGCTAAGTGATATCACTCAGATCAAAAACAAAAAAATTATGACTAAACAAGAAGTATTTGGCTTTTACTTTATAATTTATAAGATCATCTTAGTCTGGAAATATACTGATTTTTGTATATAAAGTTTTATTAAATCTACAATAACAATGACTACAATGTTCTTTGGAAAGGATATTAGACTTTTAAGAATTAACCTTTTCTTACTATGCAGAAATGAATTATCTATAGAAAAAAAAGACTACAAAATGTTTCATTTTGTCAGATCTGAATTCAAACTTTTTCAATCATTGTATCCAACCAAACCATAGATAAAATATACAAGAGTATCACCATAAAATCTATTCATATCAACAATAACATGCAAAAAAAAAAGCATTGATTTAAATGAAATAGTAAGTAACTGAAAATTCTCAGTATAACATCAAATCATAATTTACTATTCTTATGTGTTATCTTTAAAACTTTAAAATATCTACTGTGATAAGAATGAATTATCAATTTTCAACATAGTATTTAATAATATATATATACAGCAAAGAATAAAAGTCTCTCGCTTATCAGATCTCAGCTACCAAAATAAGTGCTGAAGGTTTGTGTGCACATAATCTATCAAGAATGTAGATCAGAACCACCAGGTTGCCCTTAATACGCAGCTTTTTCAGATTAAAAGACTTGAAGTATAAAAAAAAGCTTCTTGAATCTTCTATTCTCATTATGATGATGATGAATTATATTGTACGACTCGAGTATTACATGAAAATTTTAAATTCGCAATAGTATGTTAATTTATTTTTTGTGTCCTATTTCAAATAAATCAAAAATTCAATTTTATGGATTTTTTAATTTGACATATTTGAATGAATAATTTCAATTTTGATTAGTTTTCTCATTTGTTTTTCTACTTGAAAACAAAAAAATAATAGTCAAGTTGAATACTTGAAAAATTTATGGAGAATTAATCAAATCCGAAGATTTTATTCCATGTCATATATATATATATGTAGATAAACCTTGATTCTTGCTCGTCTTATGTATTTGTTTATTTGTGTGTGTAAGAAAACTTCATTCAAAGAGTTAGATGAGACACGCACACACAGACACAGAGAGAGAGAGAGAGAGAGAAAAGAAGAAGATACAAACACATTTGTTTTTGAGAAAAGAAGAATCAGAGAAAGAGAAAAAAAACGAGAACGCGCAAGCGAGCAAAAAGAAAGCGAAAAAAAAAGAAAAAGAAAGGACATATGTGTATATACGCGTATTAAAAAGAAGAACAAAAGAGAAAAGAAAAAAAATTCAAATTAGACAGTGCTTGATGACGTGCAAATTTCGTTTTTTTTATATTATTATTTTCTTTTCAGAATACAAAAGCGAGAGAGAGAGAGAGAGAAAGAAAAAGAAATAAAAATTTTGGTTGTTTCGGTCCCATCACGGTCGTTGATAGATCACAAAACAACCCGATGACTATTGCCGCTAAGATGAGAAAAGAAGAAAAAAAAAAGGCACTCAGGCCGAGATTCAAATCGTATGGTTTTTTTTCTCATTGGGGTTACAATGGATAGATAGTAGCAGAACAAAAAAAAGAGAGAATAGAATGAATATTGTTGTGTTGACGGTCACTGTTGGCACGCACACACGCGCGAAAGAAAAAAAAACAAGCACGACTAACCTACAGACAGACTGTACACGACGAGCATAGAGTTTGTTTTGAAGGTATGAAATAGGAAGGATAGGAACGAATTTTTTTTTTGAGCTCAAGACAATGATGACAACAACATCAAGAATATGAAGAAGAACATTAACAACAACAGAACGACATAGACAGCACCAAACAATTTCGACGTGCGCGTCTTAGGTGTTTTGTTTGTTTGTTCTTCAGAAAAAAAAGAAGGATAAGGACAATGAATTAGGATATTAAAAATTGAGCGGCGCGCGCGTTTGGGAAAACGAAACACAAGAAAAGATAAAGAAACACCAAGCTTATTTTGCTAATAAAATAAATATATATGAAGACAAGAAAATTCTTGCGAAATTCGCAAAGAAAAAAAGAAGATAAAAACGAGAGATACATTTCAAAATACAAGCAAACACACACACACAGATTTACGAGATGAGAATTAAACGAGAGCAAAAAAAAAGAGAAAAGAGCGAGAGACAGGGAATCACAGTAATTCGTACTGTCTCAAGTGCATACGTTGAATGATGTCGCGACAATCATTGAATACTCGACGAATATTTTCTGTATCAACCGCACATGTAAAATGCGGATAACAATAATGACGATTTTCACCGGTAGCCGTGCTGACTCGCTAAATACAAATAAATTCATATATAGAAAACAAATATATTAAGTTTAGTTTGTTTTTTTTTTCTACCAGAAATTCATCGCGAATAAAATATTTAGCTCGAGTTACTTCAGGATCTTCATCCGGCTCGGCTTTGTCTAAATAAAACGAAAAGAAAAAAAAAATTGTTATTTTTTTGTTTGTTTATTTTCAAATTATTTCTTATTAGTTTTTAATGAGCGTTAGTTTTAAATAATAATAAAAAAAAAACAAAAACAACACAATAAATAATCTTTTTTTATGTATTCTTACTGTATTTTTGTACAGAGAGTTCTGTGCAAATAAAATAAATGGAGAAAAAAAAAATTTTTGTTTTTTTCGTTTTATTCTTTTTTGTTTTTTATTTTTAATTTACCTTGCTCGCCTTGTGAAACAACATATCGAGCAAATTCAGGAAAATAATCTTCTAGTCGACGACCATTTTTGATTTTTTCAGCTAAAAGATCTTGTTTATTGAGAAATAATATAACAGATATTGTCCGTAGCCATCTAATATACAAAATATTAAAAAAATAAATAAATAAATAAATAAATAAAATTTGTTTTTTTTTTTTCTTTAAATAATTTTACCGATTATTCCATATATTTTTAAAAAGCTCAAGTGATTCTCTTAGTCGATTTTCTCCTTCATCTTCAAAAAGCATCATATTAAAACTGTCACATGCTGTGACAAATATAATTGCAGTAACATCATTGAAACATTGTATCCATTTTCGTCGTTCTTCACGTTGTCCGCCCACATCAAACATACTATATATATATGTATATACATATTAGGTTTTGTTTCTGTAAAAAAAAAAAAAGGAAAGAGAGCAAAACAATACGTACTGGAAGCGCACGCGTTCAACGGTAAAGATAGTTTCGTAAATGCCAGATGTGAGCACACGACAACGAAGAATATCCTAGAAAATTTGTTTAATTAAAACTATGTTTATAACAGCAAAAAAAAAAAAGCAAAACAAACTACAAGTCTATAATATATAAGAAATATGTTAGTCGACTAAATAAGATAGATCAACAATTGAATGTTGATAAACAATATATAAACGAATCATTTAACATTAGTATTACATATGTCAACAATTGCTCTTGTTTACCAAACAAAAAAATTTTTTTTTTCGATCAATAAAAATAAATTTACAATGGTTTGTTATTTTTTACTATCATTCTTGAAGGCTTACTTGGATCTATGTAAATTGAGAAAATTCTCTCAAAAATCAGCAATGAACATATATACTTCCCGGAAGTATTTTCAATTATATATATATATATATTTCTATGAATTATTATTGTTAACTTGAGAA